TGCGCTCGGATCCTTGCGGTTGAGGTCCAGGGGTGCACACTGCGATCCGGAGCTGGCCAGACAAGATCGGCGAAGCAGATTGGCGAGGAAGGAAGCAAGGAGGAAGGAGGAAGGAGGAGGACGAGGAGGCGGCGGAGGCGGAGGCCGAGGCCGAGGCGGAGGCGGAGGCGGAGGAAGAACAGCTGTGATAAAATCTAACAACCCTCACCTGGCAGGTGGGGAACTAAGATTAATAGATTAAAACAAAAAGCAAAAAAAAAAAAGTACCAACACCGGAAGAACAAACATAGAAAAACACACATCAAAAAAACAAAGAACACATAACTGAAACACCACGACTCAAACTACCAAGAGTGAAAAAACAACACAAAGCGTGACCAACACAGGAAGAAAAGCAAGAAACAAACAAATGAAAAAACTGCCACGCAAACTACCAAGTGAGAAAAGAATACTGTAATAGAAAAACGCTAGAAAAACCATGACCCACAAAGGGGAAAAGCATATATGTATAGTGTATAGCCTATACTGTATAGCATATATAACCACATCACAAGAACAAAAAATATAATCTAACTAAATGTATAAGAGACACGTGGTCCAAAACGATCCTAACCTCCCGCGTGCCAAAGCGATTCTAATCTTCCGCGTTCCAAAGCGAACCCGTCCCCTCAGTAGTGACTTTTCAACAACAAGAAACCTTGGGACATGCTGTTGAGAGCAGGGCGATCAAAACCAGGTCCTGTTCTGGGTCAACTTGATGAAGGCAGCTTGCACCTGCAATGTGGCAACGCATTCTTGTTCGATGCATTAGGTTTCGGTGGCGCAACCAATGTTCCATGATCTCTTGAAGTTTGATATCGGAACACAATATCCGCGACCAACGTGCAATCACAGTACCACCTTGCCCAACAATTGGCTCGGCTTTAATGCTGCAATCCACAGATGCCTCGAACTGGCTCAAGCAGTCCAAAAGTAGCCACAAGCCGTGGTCACTCAAGCCAGTGTAGCTGAAATCCACCTGCGCAAGCGCAAATGTCATCAGTCCTAAGGAATGCAGCAATTGTCACAGTCACGAGAAATTTTGTGTATGCGTCATTGGCGTCATCTTCTTTCTGAGTCTGTCAGTTCTGGCAGATCGGTGTCTGGCATATGGACAATTCAGGTTCATGGAATTGCCTCTCCCTGGCATTGCCTCAATACCTTGGCACCGTGTGTGTCCTGGGCGTCGGGGCCAACATGACAAAATTGCACAATATGGCACGGGATTCTACATGACACGCGTAAACGGCATTGTGATGTTTCATGTTTTTTTTCTCCAGCAGCCTGTTCCTTCTGCTGTTTTGATTGGTGGGTTAAAAACTTGCAAAAGCAGCATTGGGCAACAAAAACGAGCGGTTTGTTTGACACAAGTGAAGCTGCTTCTGACACAAAGCAGTAAATGCATGCTGCCAGCTGTTTGTATAGGCATGCCACTGGCTACTCAAAGATGCCAAAAGGCACCGACTCAAAAAACACCCTTACTAAAAAGACAGGAACACTCTCTTTACATCTCTTTACCTGTTGGCCTTGGCAAGCTGTTTTCACATCTGTGAGATGCTCTGGGGTGCTCGCCCTTCAGCCTGCATGACCTCAGCCAATCTGCCTTGGCGCCCTGACCTTGAAGTCTGCCAGGCGCCTGCGAAGCCAAGCGCAAAAGCGCTCCATGGCCACATCTGACCTCGCAGCCCAAAATCGAATCCTCACAGGAATGTTGCATTTCGTGGAGGGTCACTTTTTGTGATGTGACATAAATTAGTCAGAACTGCGTGTCGATCATCAACGGTGATTGGAGGCCTCAAAAGTCTAAAACCTGGGCGCCAAGCGATCCAATGTCAGATCCTGGACAGAATGCGAAGACCCTATCACTTTGACAACTGGGTGTCTGAAACAAAAAACAACGAAACACCTACTGATAAATTCACAAATGTATGCAAATGTTCACTTAGACTTTCACGGCCATCCAAAATGCCCAGGGCGCTCTTCAATACGAGTACATTCTCGGTCAAACCCATCCCACTGTGAGCCCCGCGAGAGTCCGCCTGACAAGGACAGTTTCAATCGCCACCGGTCACCTTCATACCAGGTCTCGAAGCCACGCCTCAGTCCGCCGAATGTCCGGAAAGAGCCCGTTGATGAGCAAAGAGATTATCTAAAGAACGGCACCATGTGGCAGCTTAAATCCATCTGACCAAGTCTGCTGGGCCGCCGGTCTCAGCTGCTTTCTCGATGCGTCTAACCTTGCCAGGACAAAGCTGCATCATTGTTCTCAATCTCTCACTTTGTCTCAGCACATCTTTTGATTGGAGTGATGCATGACCGAACAAACGCATGTTTGCTTCACAAAAGGCACAAAGTACATTGAGGTGAATTGAAGAAAGGACGGCGAAAGCAACAGCCAATGCAAGATCCATGGCCGGCAGGATATCTGCAGCCGGCTGAGGCTGCTGGCAGTCCAGTATTCCTCCTTTGCACCTTGATGTGGCGATCGTTTATACACCGTTACACAATTGTGAAAGCTGATGATGCGTGCCCGGTGAAGAAGGTTCGGCCTACGGTGAAGCCACCGGCAATTCACGAATTCCGGGGACTCTGAGAAGTGACCGGTGTGGCTCTTCTAGGTTCATTCGCAGCCAGGCCATCACGGTTCTTTCATCTATGCCAGGCACCCACGCCACTCTCCTTTGGCCTGTGCCACACAACTGGTGGGCGAAAATATCCACATATGACATACTACGGCAAATCATACATATATATATATTATATATATATATATCAATTATTTTTATGTATGTACATATTGTGCCAGGGCGAACCACATGGATTTCCCAAACATCGTGGGAACAACATGGCACTGGCACAGGTGTGTGCACATCTCCGAACTGCCAAAAACAAGTCCAGCCTTGCAACTTCATCATCTGCAATTGCCTGACCGATTGGACCGTGCGCCGGAGAAAGCCTAGTTGCACCCAAATAGGCTGATGTGTTACAGCAACCAAGTCACAAGAAACAATCTGGCCTCTGCATTCTCCTCAGGGCGGAAAACACTGCAAAGCAGTGGGGTTCATGTTTGCAACAACCGCAGGCCCAAGTCTTATGGCTTCCCTCCATCCGAACTAGAAGCACTGAGTAGTAGCAGGCATGAAAAACAGATTCATGAAGCAAACCTTCTTCTTACGCTTTTGACATTTCACAATCATGGACTTCGGCGATTGGGCCTGGTTCTTCCTGTGGAAATCTCATTTCTTAGTGAGTTGGCCTGGACACTTGTACCAACAAACCTTTGTCCCAGCCTCTGCTGCTTTTGCCTGTGCACGGTGCACATTGGCAATGGTGCAAGTGACACCAAGTGACCAAGGACCCGGAGATCCTAGAGCTGAAACCTACTACGTTCCCTTCTGGTTTCTGCGGGAACATCCGCCGCAGCTATCTTCAGTTTCTCGAGTGTTCTGGAGCAATGCTGTGTTGCCTTGCAGTTGGTTAAACTTGTTGGTCGCCAGAATGAACAAAAAGCTACTAGGAACAAGTGCATCGCTTCTAGTAACAAGTGCCTTACTAGTAGTAACAGGAAGCTATTAGGAACAAGTGCATCGCTTCTAGTAACAAGTGCCTTACTAGTAGTAACAGGAAGCTATTAGGAACAAGTGCATCGCCTCTAGTAACAAGTGCCTTACTAGTAGTAACAAGAAGCTATTAGGAACAAGTGCATCGCTTCTAGTAACAAGTGCCTTACTAGTAGTAACAAGAAGCTATTAGAAACAAGTGTATCGCTTCTAGTAACAAGTGCCTTACTAGTAGTAACAACAAGCTATTAGGAACAAGTGCATCGCTTCTAGTTACAAGTGCCTTACTAGTAGTAACAAGAAGCTACTAGGAACAAGTGCATCGCTTCTAGTAACAAGTGCTATACCAGTAGTAACAAGAAGCTACTAGGAACAAGTGCATCGCTTCTAGTAACAAGTGCCTTACTAGTAGTAACAAGAAGCTATTAGGAACAAGTGCATCGCTTCTAGTAACAAGTGCCTTACTAGTAGTAACAAGAAGCTA